AGTCTAAGATCCACCGTGGGCAAGCTGGAGACTCAGGAGCCTCCTCCATGGTATAAGTTTGAGTCTGAGAGCGAAGGCACAAGAACGATGTCCCAGCTCCAAGACAGTCAGGCAGAGGGAAAGCATTCTTTCTTGCTCAGCCTTTTGTTCTATTCTGGGCTTTCAACGGGTTGGACGAGGCCCACCTACCTCAGGGAGGGGATCTGCTTTACTCGGTCTACCCAATCACACATTCATCTCATCCACGAACACCCTCACAGACTCCCCAGATACAATGTTTAACCAAATGATCCGAGCACCCCGTGGCCCAGCCAGGCTGACGCGTAAAATGAGCCATGACATTCGGTCCTGGTTCTGCTGAAGCCAGCAGCTTAGCGAGGTATTCGGAGAGGCAGGAAAAGAATTCCAGAACAAAGTGGTTAAGTGCTGGAGGAATTCTCACTTAGACTTCAAACTTCACCTCAAATAGTACCTCCTACAAATCTTCTCTGATCTCCCCACATGATCAGTGACTTTCTCTTGGGAGTCCCCCCCAGAACACACATCCCTTGGGAGAGATTCTCTCTCTCTCCTTTTTTCACAATGAAATGTTCTAAGTCTACAAAAAGGTACAGAGATAATGTAGCAAAGTCCCATATACCCGTCCTTAAAAGATAAAGCACCACAGATGGAGCACAGCCTAGGGTGGCCAAGTTGTCCCATCTGGTTCAGTACAGAAAGTTCTGCAGCCTGGGACCCCTTGGTGCGCAGCAGATCAGGATGATTCATCCCACTAGTGCAGGCCTTCCCCGCCTCCCACTCCTGAGTACATCCCTTCCTTGAGATCATTCCCCGCCCCCCATCAGAGGAAATGACCGATTTATTAAAACTGGGGGTTACCATTTATGTGACTTTCTTTATACTTTGAATCCACCCCTAAATGCCATTGGAGTGCTGTTTTGCATGAAGGCACCCAGATCGGGTCCAGAACGTTGGATGGCTGTGACATGAGCTTGGTGGCAGCGAGCAAGGCTTCCTGCATGTTTGAAGGCAAAAGCTAGAAGAGCAATCAGCTGCCTGAAAGGCAGACAGGGGAGAGGTGGGGGTGAGGGGGGGAGCAGGGGACTAGCGCAGGAGCCGGAGGAGGAAGCAGAGAGCTCCCAGAAGAGGCAGTTAGGAGAGCATCAGAGAGGGGACCCGGGGGCGGGAGAAGGTCTTCAGAAGAGAATGTGCAAGGCATGTTTGGTGAGGTAGCTGCCAATTCCCCCTTTCATGCTCCACACTCAGGAAAATGCACAGCCCTCACTCACATGGGGGGGCACAGGGATGCGTCCAAGGGCCCGGGGGAGAGGTGCCCCAGCCTCCAGATCCCTAGTGCTTCCCTATGATGCTCCAGCTGCTTGTGCTTGCACCCCACTAGCTCCCCGGGGCCTCCAGCTCATGGTAAGCGCTCAGTGTTATTTGGGGGGGGGGGAGGTAAGGAGGGAGGGAGGGAGGGACGAAGGAAGGGAGGAGGAGGGAGGGAAGGCAGGCTTCAGCTCTGTGGGGGCCCGAAGAGGCTCCTGGGGGTCTCTCCTGCCAGGACCGAAGGGCCTGATGTGCAGAGCAGGATGCGAGGCGCTGTGAGGCCCCAGGAGCTGGACGGGCGCTCAGGGACTGTCCTCTGAGCGGGAGCCAGGCCAGGCAGAGCACTGTGAGCACTGTGAGCGGGGGGCGTGAGGGGGTGGAGGGTGGAGAGAGGCAGACAGGGAGCCGAGGGAAGTGCAGGGGCAGAGGCGTGCTGCTTAGCAACCACAGGAGAAGATTTAGGGAAGTGACAGGACCATTTCTCCCTGAGCCTCAAAGGGAGGATTTTTTTTTTTTTTCTAAAGAGCTGCCACCTACACTGGCAGATCTGGTTGTGGCGGCTCAGAAGGCTGGCTAGGACTGGGGGGCTCCCCAGAAGTCGGGGCCATCGCTGAGGAAGGCTGGCCGGCCCCCGGGGCTCTCAGGGACTCCAAGGGGACCTTTCTCCTGGCCCCTGAAAGCAAGGGAAGGAAGCCTCGAAGGCAAGACGTGGAGACACAGCCTCAGGATCCTCTCAGGAAGGTGCTGGGTCTTCTCCCTTGCTCTTCTTTTCCCCAGGACCCTGCTGGCAGCCCCAGTCCTGCTCCTTCCTCCCCACTGAGAATTCTCAGTTGCTTTTCTTTCTTAATTTGATTTTCTCTGGCTCAGAGTGGAGATCAAAAGAAGAAATTCTTTCCAGCCTTTTAGGAATAATTCCCAGAATCTCCCACTGGAAATGCATATATAATTACCACCATTAAAAAAAAAAATCTTTCTGGTTCTCTTCTCCATTTCTTTTCCATCGCCGCAGCAGGCTTGGGGAAGTGAGGGGAGAGGGAAGCTTCTAGAGTATCTTTGTGCTTGCAGGTTCAACTGTATTCACCATATTCTTGCAGGCAAAGCACGCCCCCCCCCCCCCCACCCCGGCCCCGCAGCAAAGAATTCTAGATGGTACAGGCAGGAAATGCAAATAGCACTTCGCTAGGGTTCAACACCATGGAATCACCTGGTGGGAAGTTATTCCCTTTCTAATTTGTTTTAATTGTCTTCATTCCATCAAGTCTCGAGTTGGTGCTGGTGCTGGGTATGTCCTTATCATTCCCTGATGCTTGCTAACCTTCCTTTTAAGAGTGGCAAGCAGCAATCCTCAGCCCCACAGCAAGCAAGAGCGACTAGCTGCAATTTTATATCAGTGCTGTTTTGCATTGTGATTAGTGTGGTGTGTGCCAGGAGGCCGGGGCTGGGGGGGTGCGGGTTACTCTGTATTTGTATTTATGGCTGGTTCCTTTTCAGATGAAAGACAAATAATTAGTAACTAATAAAAATCGAAGCGGGACAGCGATACACTGCCTAATGGCGAAGGCTTTTGGAAAGGTCCCCAGTTTGTCAGCCCCTCCCCCCAATCCAGGATACCAGCCTTCCCCCTGGCAGGCTGCGGGTCAAGTGCAGGGAAGGATCCCATTCAAGGTCAGCGGGTCGAGTTGAGCCGCAGTTGGCACCAAGCAGCCTCAGATGGGAATTTTCCATTTTTGTGTTTTGGAACTACTCAGCCTGGCTTTGCACCCACTCACAGCCCATTCTGTTCCCTGGGATTCCAGAAGCCAGGTCATCAAGGTCTACTTTGGGACACAAGGCCAGAGAGCGTGGGTGGCTGCCAAGGACACCTATCTTTTGGCTGCCATACCCGATTTCCTTTCGGACAACCACCAGTCTGTCCTCTCGGATCCAGATTTGAGTGGAGCAGACCCACCCATGGCTTTAGGGCTGGCGTGCCATCCGAGCCTGGCTTCCTCTGGGCATCCCATTCCTCTGGCCACCATGATGGGTGGGTTCAGGGAAGGGCAGAGAGATGCATGGAGGAAGATGCTGGGAACACCGGGGGCTGGCTCTTTCCCACTGGCCTCGATCCTGAGCCGATGAGGCTCGGGAGCTCCTGCAGCCCTTTCTGCCACCACGAGGAGGGAGCCAACCACGGGGGAAGGGGGCTGAGAAATGGAGAGAGGGAAACCCGATTCTGATGGTATCATTTCCATCCCTGGATCCAGCTGTGCCTGAAGCTAGCCTCTACCCTTGGCTGCCTTTAGAGTCCCCACGGAGCCAACAAATTCCCTTTCTCATGTAATCCAGTTAGGATCAGTGCTTCGGTGACTTGCAATCACCAAGAGTCTTAACTGATAAAACGGCTCGGTGGAAATCCTTGGCCGCCGAGACACAAAGAATGCAGAGGGCTTCTGTTACGTGCGGAGGTGAGTGGCATTTTGTCACCGTACGCAAACACTGGTACAGGGAAAGCTATTGGAGCTCTAAATTCCAGATGACTAAGCGGTAGGCACAGGCTTGTTTACCCCTTGTAACAGTCCTACATGACTGCCTACTTTTGTCACCATTTTATAGACGGAGAAGACTGAGGCCCAGGGGGTCTTGGTGAACCTTCGAGGTTCTTGCCCCTTAGCACTATGTCATCCCAGCCACGCCTCTACAGCAAACAAGGAGAATGCCCACCGGTACCTACAAAGCTCTGGGAATGTGTGGTTGGGAAGGGACCAAGGGGTGAGGCTCTCAGGAGGCATGGGGTGATATTTATGGAGCAGGTGGTGTGAATGTCCCCATCCACCCCCAACCCCCCAGTCATGGGGTGTCCAGCTTCCAACGGCTGCATGCTGGCCTGCAGAAAGGGCGGTAACTCTTCTTTACCTGCGGTCCAACACAGAAAGATGGAAAAGGCCCTGAGTGTAGATCAGAAGTCATGAGCTGCCCCAATCAATCATTTCACTTTCCGAGCCCTGCTGTTTTGGCATCTGGAAAATGGAGACCCCAGCTCCTTGGCCTGGCTCATCTGCACCAGCAACAGGAGCATCAGATGAGGACAAAGATGCGAAAGTTTATTTGCACAGTCAGGAGCAGGGTTGTGGGATGGAGGGAATCCCTTGGCTTCCCGGAGGTGGATGGGCAGGCCAGGAAAAGGTGTTAAGCCACACTTCCTCCTCCCCACCCAGGCGGACGGCGCAGATTCAGGCCCAGCGTGACCTGAAAGGAACCTTTCTGTCCCCAAAGCGAGAGAGATAAGAACTGTGAAGGAGAGAAGCGAGCTCGGCTGCAGGCACTTGGGGGTTTATTTTTACCCTGTTATCTCTATCCTGAAATGTCAAGCGTGAAGCTGCCTCTCTCTCACCAGCCCCCCAGCCTCCCCAGCCATTCAGCGTGGCAACGCAGCCTGGAAACAGGCCCCATTCTCCTTCTCCGGTTCCTCTGCCTTTCCAAGAGAGTCACAGTGCTATGGAGACGGGAGGCATGGAAACCCTGAAATAGACAAGTGGGAGGTGAGACCTTTTATTTGGGTTCTGGAACAGGCTCACTTCCTTCTAGAGGCCCCGGGGTGCAGAGGAGGCCCTTGGCACTGCTGGGTACCTATTCTAAGGTTTGCATCAAATTGGCTCTTTCTGTTGCAAGACTCAGAAATCCCTACTTAAACGAGGTTATGTAATAAATAATGTTTAATTGTCTGAGGCCCCTGAAAGGCCTAGCCAAAGGTCAGGCTTCAGGTGAAGTCTGATCAAGGGGTTTGATGCTGTCCCAAAGCTTCAGTTTGCTCCATCTCTCAGCTCCATCTTCTGTGGTGTCGGCTTCATCCTCGGGCACCATGCTGTGCTCCCCAACAATCTAGCAGTTCCAGAATCTTCCTCCATGGTCACAAATGGCTGTAGCAGTGGATCTAGACCTTACATCCCCATACTGACAGCTTCCAAGGAAGAGAGAGGAAACTTCTTTTGGTCAGATGTTACCAAGAAGTGTCTTCTTGTGTTTCATGGGCTTTGACTGGGTTATATGGCCATCCCTGAGCCAATCACTTTGGTATAGGGGCAGGAAGGTGAAAAAACACATTGATTAGATTAAGCAAACCAGATTCCCAAGAACAGGGATGCAATGGTTTCCTGAAGATTCTGAGCACTATACCCGAAAGGTGATGGGAATGGATGCTGAGCAACAATCAGGAGACTGTTTTGTGCTTTATTCACTTTGCTTGATCCTTACCTACCCAGGAAAGCCCCCAAGGTTAGACCTGACTGTTCTTTCTTATCCAGAAACAGGCCAACATCAGTTTCTTCTCTATCTGTAGGTTAACCTGGGGTTCTGAGTTCTAAGAGTCCTGGGTCTGTTAGTCCCAAAATTTCAACCTGGCAACAGAATCCCTCCCAGGTAGATAGGTAGGCACAGGCTGAAGTGTCATCTGTTTATGTGCCAAAGGCCTCCTCTGCCTTCAAAATAAAATTTACATGCTACGCCCTGGATTCCTTATCACTCACCCCCGATCACACGCTTAATACCAGCTTCTGGTCATTCCTTAGACAAGCCAATCACTCTCATGCTACAACAGCCTTTCCCCCTTGATCTTTGTCTAGGATCTTGAATTCCTTTAAATCTTTTCTCAGTTGGCTTTATCTCATCATCCTGGAACCTGCTTCAATGTCACCACTTCTTGGAAGTCTTCTCTGACTGGCCTAGTGCATAAAACCATCTTTGTGATCACCCTGTGCCTCGATGGTTTGAGTATCTCTCTCCCTTCGCTAGACTGTGAGCTCCACGGAGCAAGGACGGTGCTTGTCCTATTGATGTGCAGACCTCCCAATCCTGGTTATGTGGCTGGCATAGGGTAGGTACTCGATAAAAATTGGTTGAGTCAGTGAAGGAGAATTCCTTTCTGAATGGCCTTGTAAACTTCTAAAGAGCAAGGTAACTTCTGACATTTGTCCCTAACTGGGTGTCTACCAAAACAATGAGCACGAAAGAGACACAATGTGGTAAGTGGTATTTTTTTTCAAATGAAGAAATGCGCTCTCTGCTAAAGGGATTTGCTCCAAGTTGCACGGAAGTTAGTACAGAAAGAGACCTGGGAAGCTCCAATGCTTCTTTGAGGAATTTGTTTTCCTAAGCCAATGCACGTGAACGTTTGAGGGCGTGAAGCTGTATCGAGGTACGGTGGGGGGGGGGGCCATCTCTCCATCCGGGTCTCTGACTCGGGTGGCAAGACCACCATTCACGAGTAATAGCGTGAAAACCACATGGGATGATACTGTTTACTCCCTTCCCCAATGAGGCAGTGAGAGAAGAATGTCTCATAAGAAGAAGAATATTTTACCTTGTCCACGGCTGCTCCATAAATCAACATCAGAACCTCAATACGCTGATGACTCAGAGGAACCCCCAGGCTCTTGGTGGACACAAACTCTCCTCAGGGCCACCAAGACCTACCAGTCTGTGACAGTCCTCAGGACGGTCAGGTGAGTGTGGTGGGCTCCGTGCAGCTAATGGAAACTCAAAAGGATACCTACATATAGACATCAATTGTCTTTGTACTCAGCAGATGGCATGCCGTCCGGAGCAACTCAAATATTCGGTTGTTGCTGATTCTCTGCTCACCCAACCAGATCCATCCCTCTCTTGGGCTCTCACACGACACTCTAAACTTTGCTCTACAGGACTTCCCAACGTTTGTAATACTATCTATATTTAGGTGATTACTTGAGTAATGTCCATCTTCCCCACCGGACTCCAAACTTCTCAAAGTTAGGGATGACCTCATTGGCCCACTACTGTATCCAGTGGTGTAGGTAACCAACCCCGTGCCTAACTTGTAGAGTGAGCCTTATAAATATTTTCTGAATGGAAGATGGGTAAGTGAATGGAGCTCAGGGTCTGCTGGGAAAGCCTGTCACAGCCAGCCTGACGCAGCTGGGAGACAGCAAAGAGGCTGAACTTCTCAAAGGAAATCAGACCTTGTCACTGTATGACCACCTTGTCCTCTCCATCAAGGCATCTCCTGTGCCTAGAAGACTATCTGTCACAGATAGAGAGTCAGCAGATGCTGGGAAAATAAAGAAATGGGATGGACACTATTTTTTCCCTTACCAAAGAAGATGGTTGCCTTCTCAAGGATAAATTCCTGGAAAGGGAGAATGGGAGGCGGGGAGCTATAATATACAAACATACTGAACCAAACCCAATGGTTTCCTTTAGGTCATTCCCTTCAGACTCAGTGAGTCTGCTTCTAGGAATCACTATACCAACAGGTCAGCATGGGAGAAGCTCGGAGCACAAATTACCCAAGTTTGCTCCTTTGGACTCATATGCACCATATTCCGGGGTTAGATACTTAGAGTTTAAGTGAGCTATACCTCCTGGTCCTCATCACACATTCTGGAAAGACAAAAACCAAAACAAAAACACACCAGGAAGGGTACCGTACCTTGAGAGGCTGGCCCCAGTCTCTGCTACAGGGTCAGGAGGGTGCTGGAAGGAAAGGGATTTCTCTTCTCCATTGCCACATCCCCCTTTCTAAGGGATGGCTGTGTCCCAGTGGTTCGTTTTGAATCTGACATTTAACCAATCAAGGGCTCAAGATATGTGGTCTTTGTCCCTCCTTTGGAGGTAACAGAGAGATCCAAGATCTTGTTCTTCAAGATCAATTCAAAATCAAACACCAAAAAACTCCCCCAGAACCCTCAGGAAAAACCTCTGTAAAACCAAATCTCCAAACCTGCCTGGGTCTCAAGCCCGCCCCAGCCCAGCAAAGAAAAGCGGCTCACCATTGAACTACAGAATCCCTTCCAGAACCAGAAGGAAAGGAAAAGGGATTTACGGGTCGCCTCAGAGTTGTAGGCTCTGGCTTGTCCCCAGGATGAGTTCATTATTTATTCTTAGAGACCGGACTCAAATTAAACAAACAGTGCCTATAAATAGAGCGGGATACACTCAGCTCAGTGTCACTGAAAGGTCCTTTTCACAGGGACAGATGCGCTAAAGGGATGTTTCTCAGGTTACCCTGCTGGTACTAGTGAAGAAGGGTTGTCCTTTTTCTTTTTAAGTGTCGTCCAGGAAAGGGGGAGCGGGGAAGCCGGTGAGCTGGACATGGGGGATTGGCCCGATTCTGTCTCCTTCACTTTTTTTTTTTTTTTTTTACTAAATTCTTACTCACTTTATAACTGAGAGGGGGCCGTAGAGGAAGGATGTCACTCTACAAACAGTTGGTCAGTTTGGCAGTTGCCTCTGGGAATGGGTCCTGGTTCAGGCTGTATTTGACAGAGTGTTCTGGTCTTTTAGATTAGATTGCAAACTCCCTAAGGGAAGGGACCAAATGGTAGTATTCCCTCTTGGTCGCTCCTATGAGGCCAAGCATGGGGATGGCTGGGGTTTCCACTGCCGATGCTGAGCCCCAAATTGAAAGGACTCCCCTCTAGCATGGGGACCCTTCCTGTGGGGAGCAAGGGGGCCTGGGGTCCCAGCCGGCCATGACTTTGCTCTGACCCCCCACCGAGCAGTACACTTGAGAGGTGCTGTGATCACATCACCGTGATAGACAAGTTGGGGTAGAAAGACCTGGCATAACTGGGGACACATATAAAGCGATGGAACAACAAAGTCCAGTCATTGGAGTAGCTAGAAGCTGTCACCAAATCAGCACTTGGCCAGCTCATTCCAGGCACCGGTCGAAGCACTTGGTAAAAGCCTCATCTTTCTAAAAACCTCTACGAGGTAGGGACCATTCCACTCTCTGTTTTACAGATGAAGAAACTCAGGCACCAAGAGAGTGTGACCTTGCTCGGGGTCACAGAGCTGGTGAGTCGGGACTGGGAGGCAGGCGGTTGAACTTAAGAGCAGCCTCCTGGAGGACGGAGTACCCACCCGTCGGGTTTTAGGGGCTGGGGCCGCCAAGGCCAAGACTCCCCATCAGCACAGGATCCAGGTCAGGCCGGTGACTGTGAATCTCAGGACTCCCTCTGGGGATGCTGGGATGAAGACAAACTGAATTTCCCTCTGGAGTGGCACTGGAGGCAGGCACCTCGGGAAGTGTCACAGCCCTCTGGCCCCTCTGGCGGGGAGCCTGGCTGAGAGTGAAATCAGCGCTGAGCAAGACCAGTTCCTGAGTCCAGCTGCACCTGAAGCTGCACTGCCCCTTGAGCTTTGCACTTTCAGGAGCCAGGATGTTCCCTCTAAGTTTAAGCCGCTGGAGGTTGATTTCCTATCACATGCAGCCAACAGATCCCCAGCTGAGCCTGGCTGGCCCAGAATACAGCAGAATTTGGCCACGCTAACAGCCCAGCCCCACCTATAAGCGAGAGTTCATCCTGCACTCCCTTTTCTCACCCTGTTGGAATCTTCCAGAAACACGTACCAGCAGCTTGCTCCCATGCACTCGCACAATGGCTCCATTCTCTGTTTACTGAAATCCCAAGCACTCTGCCGAAGCTTCCTTCACTGTACCCAGCAGAACTACCTACGGCTTCGCTTGGTGGCTACCATATGGAACTTGCGCTTGCACCTAGTTAGCGCTTACCTTATTCTGCCTTGGAATAGCCATTTACAAGTCAGTCATTAACATTCACTGAACGCACATTCTCCACTCGGTGTGGGGGGTGGGGGGAGGCTCAGAGCCAAGACTCATATCAGCGTGTATCTGAGCTCTTTCTAAGTGTCAGGCGCTCTGCTTAGTGCCAGCAATTATATTGAGGCATCTCCTAAAAACCCCACAGGGCAAGTACGAATAAGATCCCCCATGTTACATGTAACAGGATGGTAAATTGGGAGGTTCTGCCAAGACACTGAGATTTGAACAGAAATTGCAAAGCCAGTGACCAGATGAAGATGTAGATTTTCCCAGCAAAGACTTTACACCTAGTTTTAAATTTTAATCCCTCATTCACAAATCCCTAAGCCACAAAGAGGGTATAAAAGACTCAATAGGTATTAAGAGAGGATTTTACCAAGTTTTTTTTTTTCAAATACCATGCTGTCATCTACCACCAGACACAGACTGACAGACAGACACACACACACACACACACACACACGAGGTGGGGTGTTTAACTTATGCCTGCCTCTCAAGTTTGGTCAGAGCAGCTTCTTTGAGACCCTATGCAGAGTCTGATGAGCCATCCCTGTAGCTGGAGAGATGGAGACACAGGGAGCTGTGTCTGACTCACTTCGGAGAAGTCCAGAGGGTGGGAGATGTGGCCAGGAAGTTTGCAAATCCAACGCTCATTCTGGCCAAGAGTGCATGTGTTTCCCTGCAACCTCACATGAGTGAGCTGGCTGTTGGATCCTCTTAGATACTATCTCACAGGGCGGCCTAGAAGGGCCACAAGCCCTCATCAGACAGAGGCTGGAGGCAGATCATCAGACACCTCGGGGGGTGAGGGGGCTCGTGGTCTGAGTTATACCGTCCTGGTGCTGGGGACTCTCCAGTACCCGCCCATGACCCCATGTGGGACTTGAGCATACCGAGAGGGGTCAACACCATCTTTTGGTTCTAATAGTCAAGTAGGGACTCCACACCCACCCACCCACCCAGCCACCCTTCTTTGCCCTGCATTTTCTCTTTTCCAATCCCTTGTGTGTGTGTCTCAGGGGAAGATCATGTCTATTTCCCTCTTCCCAAAGGCAAGCTGCCATGATGGTGGGCCACAGATGGAGGAAGAGGAAGATAGGCTTATCTTTAAAGTTTGAAGGATTGATTAATATATTGGATAGGACATTCTGATTTTGGAAATGAGACTCATCTATGACTTAGAAATCATATGACTTTTTTTTTTTTTTTTGGTAAAAATGAGGCGTGAAAGGGAAGGTCATGTTGCCTACCTGAAGTTTCCATCTTGTGCCAAGACAAGGACATACCTCCCCAAAATTTTAAGGAGATAAGAGGGGACAAAAGTAGAGTTGTCTTGATGACCTTGCTCTATGAGTTCTCCTAGACAGATGGACAGACAGGGTAAGTGACCTGCGCAGGGTCACAGAGCTCATAAAAAGGCAGAACTGTGTTCCTAACCATAGTGCTATGTTGTTTCTACCCTCCAGGAAATTAATGTCTCTCCTGCTCCTAACTGGTCTGTTCTTATCTTATTCTTCTCGAATTCCCTTCCTTTACCTCAGTGTATTATACATGGCCCTAGACCAGCGTTGACAGAAGCAGGGCATGATCAGAGGTGGGTAAGGTTATCCAAGGATGACTTCAGTCAAGAACATGAATCAAAGGCCAGCAAAGCCCTGAGCACCAAATCTGGAGAATTTCCTGTCTCCATCTACCTCAATACTTTGATGACAACCATGATGCTGTTGGTATTATTAACATGACCACTGAACCTCAGTAAGTTCCAGGCGCCATGCTAAGTGCTTTTCACATGTTTTCTGATTAAATCCTAGCAACCCCGTGGAAAGGATCCTCCCGTATATTATTTCTATTTTCACAGGAGGGAACTGAGGCTGGGAGATCTTGCACAAGGTTTCATGGCCAGCCAGCAGAGCCAGGTTTCCAAACCAGGTCTGAGCCTAGAGCATGCACCCCTCACCAGCACAGGGCTCTCGGCACATAGTACCTAGAACTCCAAAGACCCCCTTCCCTTGGGGCACCAGGGACTTACCTGCTGCTATGCCTTACTAAAATGGCCCCTCCATCAGCGTTTTTGTTGGTTTCCGATTGGTTTCCAAGAAGTTTATGTGACTGGATCCAATCACACAGGGCTCTTGGGTCTTGAGTTTTTTGAGAGTTTTTTGGTTCTTGCTGAGGGGGCAGGCAGGCTGAGAGCGAGAATGAGGATTGACTGCAAACAGGTTTGAGGTAATATTGGGAAGTGAGGGAATGTTCCAGAACCCGAGGGATACGATCTGTGGTTATGAAGGTAGTGACAGGATATGGGTCTTCTCTACCTTTTGAGATAGGATTACATGGACCCCCGTCTAAGGCAGAAACCAATATCCAGTAGAAGTTGGTGACCATGATATGGATCTCTCTAGACCTGTGACCTATCCTACTATGAGATCAAGCAAAGCCTGTGCCAAAGTTTTTCACCTACTCTCCCAATGGGGATGTCTCGAAAAATCTATCCATAATTAACAGTATCTCAATGGAATCTAAAGTAGTAGTTGTGAATGCAGGCTTGGGAGGCTTCCCAATGCAGGCTTTCATTTATTAGCTACGTATCCTCCACCAAGGCACTTAAGCTCTGAGCTTTTAGTTTGGTAAATGGTGACAGCAATATCTTCCTCTTAGTATTTGTGAAAAGTCATTAGTCTTTTCACAAATCTTCTAATTCTCCTTCCTCTTTAGGTACATGATAAAATGACTATGATACTTTTCACCCACTTTGACATTAACTACGCCCACGGGACTTGCTGGTCAGCAAAATAAGAGTGAGAGTGATTTCCCACCACCAGGGGGAAGTTTTAGGAGTTAGTGCGCAGTTTGCTTTTTTAACATCAGGAGTTCCTAGTAGCCTGGGTCCCTGAGTGTCTTTGATGAGCACCATCCCTCCTGGCTCTATTCATCACTGGACACATTGCATGAGTGAGATATAAGCCTTTGCTGTTTTAATCCAGTGAGGTTTGGGGGTTGTTTCTTACCGCAACATCACCTACCCTAACCTGACTAATACGGTGTTGGTGGGAGGGAGGATTAGATACATAAAAAAAAAAAAAAAAAGAAACAAAGCACAACTACTGCTATGTACCCACAAGAATGGCTGTAATCAAGGAGACAGACAATGGCAAGTGTTAGCAACATATGGAGAAACCAGGTCCCTCCCAGATTGCTGGCGGGAACATAAAATTGTGCAGCCACTTTGGAAAACAGTTTGACAGTTTCTTAAGAAGTTAAACACAAGCTCCCTTCACAACCCAGCAACTCACCAAAGTATCTGCCCGAAAGAAATGGAAAGATATGTCCACACCCAGACTTGTAGGTGTGAATGCTCACAGCGGTGTTATTCATGATAGCTACAGAGTTGGAGCAATCCAAAAGTCCATCATCTGGCACATAGACACACAACATGTGGTCTGTCCATACAACGGCACACTACTCAGCAATAAAAAGCAAACAAAATGCTGATACAGGCTACCACGTAGACAAACTTCAAAAACACACTTAGTGAAACAAGCCAGATGCAAGATCATAGATTGAATGATTCAGTTTTTATGAAATGTGCAGAAAAGACAATTTTGTAGAGACAGAAAGCAGTTCAGTGGTTTCCTGGGGCTGAGAGCGAGAATGAGGATTGACTGCAAACAGGTTTGAGGTAATATTGGGAAGTGAGGGAATGTTCCAGAACCCGATTGTGATAATGACTGTACAACTCTATAAATTTTCTGAGAATCTTGAATTGCACACTCACAATGGGTCAATCTTATGGTATATAGATTCTATCCCAATGAAGCAATTAAAAAAAAAAACCCAACAAACTAAGCATGCTATCTGGCGCATAGGGAGAGCTCAATAGATGTTTGTTATTATTCATCATTTTAGGAATGAAATTCTAGGACTGAGACTCTGCAATGAACTGATGAGGAGTGAAGATCTATATCCAGTGAAGAAGGGAGGTTTGGG